ACTTTCTTGCATTTGTTCTGCTGCAGTGAAACACGCACCTGAACTAAGGGATTCAGTGTTTGCATTATCGGCCTGCCTCAAGTGGTGCGTCAGTTACTGTGCTGGGCAAATACATGTGTTTTGGAAATATAACCGAGTTGAAAGGTGAGATCCCTGTTGCTTTGAATCCGCTTAAAGCTATCGTTGGTATTGCAGTTTTATTGTAGGCGGAAGAAAGGCAAGCAAAATAGCACCACTGAATTGTTTTTTGCAAGTTCCAATGCTTCTAAATTTTTACGGCTGTCATGCCCGTCTAAAATTAGCAGAGCTTTGTGTTTGGTGTTCGGTTGAACATGTTTAATAAAGTGTTATATCAATTTTAAAAATAGTTCCCCGGTCTTGTAACCTGATTCATTGTACAAACATAAAGTCCCAAAGGGCGCTTCGTCGTATAATGTTGGATTTTATTTCTTCCGATGAAAAATTATAGTAGGTGGAATATAACTTCCCCCTGAACGCATGCACGCTACAACAGTTGAATGTACTCCCCTTTCCCTGTAGGTGATGGCACCCACTTGTTTCTTTCCTTTAGCTCGAAAATTTTAGAAGTATTTTGTACAGTTGTCAACCCTGACACGTCCATGTTAAAAATTATACTTTTGTCGATTTCTTCATTATTTACGTTACGTAGATTTTTAAAAAAGGTCTTTACTTGTGGTTTGTTAAAACTTTCAGCGCCTGTCATTGATGTTGCCTCTGGCTGACGTAGATATATTCGGATGCCTTAAGATGCCATTAAGCCTTAAAATCTGGCTTCCAGTGCTAGCATATGCTCCACTAGAGCCTCTTCTAGTTCTCAATTTAAGGTTGTTTCATGTCTGCCAAGATGCTTTCTTGTACCAACTGCTATTTTATTTCGATTCATGGCACGGCGGCGAAGTGTTGCCTGGGGCACTTGGTAATGCCTGCTAGCCTTTAACCAACCCATGCGCTTTTCCGCTACAGCATGCAACGCTCGTTTCATGTTCTTCTCATTCCATGCCCCTCTATTGGTTTTTCTTTTATAATTAGAAACCATCTGTAAATAAAAACAGCAACTGCAAATTTTAGGTCATGAAGTCCAAGAGCGGATCTCTGGGGGGACGGGGGAAGCAATGGGGATAATTAATCCCTCCAGACAGGTCCCTCCATAATTTAAATGAATAGAAAAAACTGGATAAAAATAATATAGATAAGAGCTTAAAAATATACTGAAAAAATATATAGGTACCCATGTTTTTACTTCTATATTAATAGTAAGTACCCAAAACATTAGTTGAGAATTTTATTTTAAAGGAGTTTTGGATAAAAGTCGGGCCCAGAGTTTTTTACCCTGCCCCAGAAATATTTCATAGATCCATCCTTTAGAGGGCAAGATGACACAGCTATATCTCAACTTGCCCGCTAGCGCGTGTGATCATAACATGAAAACATGCTATGATCACACAAAATCGTTTACATACAATTAAAGTTAAAAAAGACCTCAAAACCATAAAATCTAGTCTTGCACAGTCAACTGAATATTCCAACCCATTTACGCATGAATAAATATCGCAAGCCCTAAATGAAATGAAAACAGGAAAAGCACCGGGTTTCGACGCCATTCACTCTGAGTTCCTCAAGCATAGCGGCAGATTCACTAGGCAATGGCTCGCAGAATTCTTTTCTGACATCCTTCAAACGGGAAACGTCCCCCACCAACTCAAAAATGCAAAAATCATCGCCATTTTAAAACCAGGGAAAAGTAATCATTCACCGAAAAACTACCGCCCCATCGCACTCTTAAGTATGGTGTACAAATTGTTCGAAAGACTGTTGTATAATAGAATCAGCAAAACCATATTCCAACACTTACCAGTGGAACAGGCAGGGTTTCGGCCAAACCGCAGCTGCACAGACCAGGTACTCGCCCTGACCAATTATGTGGAATCAAAGTTTCAAAAGCAATCAAAAACAACCGCTGTCTTCATCGATCTATCTGCTGCTTATGACACTGTGTGGCGACAAGGGGCAATATATAAATTAATGCGAATAATCCCATGCAGAAAGTCCACTGAGGTTATTAACGCCATGCTATCCAACAGATGCTTTAAAGTTATATTGGGAGACAAGACTAGTACCCAAAGAAAACTGAATAATGGACTTCCACAAGGATCCGTGCTGGCTCCCATGCTTTTCAGCCTCTACATAGCAGACATGCCAGAAACCACATCAAAAAAGTTTGGATACGCAGACGACTGGACGCTTGCCGCAAGTCATAAAGAATTCGAGGTCACTGAACGCATTCTAACAAACGATTTAAATGCCCTAGGGATTTATTTCCGCAAATGGAGATTGCAACCCAATCCAACTAAGACAGAAGTGTCCTGCTTCCATTTGAACAACAAGATGGCCAACTATCAACCTCAAATCAATTTTGGGGATAGACTCCTTAAATATAATAAACACCCAAAATACTTAGGTGTTACACTTGACAGAACGCTTAACTTTAAAGAGCATCTTACTAAGACTGCTGCAAAACTCCTAACTCGTAACAACATCCTGCAAAAGCTCTGCGGCACTACATGGGGTTCCTCAGCACCCACACTTAGATCGACAGCATTAGGACTGGTATACCCCGTAGCGGAATACTGTGCACCAGTATGGATAAACAGTCCACATACTCACCGTGTTAATGTCCAACTCAACCAAGCCATGCGAACTATATCGGGCACAATCAAGGCCACGCCCACCTACTGGTTACCAGCTTTGAGTCATATAGCTCCGCCACCCATCCGCCGGGAACATGCCCTTGTCAGAGAATTTACAAAAATCAATACTGATCCTGAGCTCCGCTTCCATGTCGGAACTTCCGCCAGAGACATAAATAGGCTCCGTTCAAGACACCCGCCTCTAAAAACAGCAAAAAGGCTAGTAGATCAAAACTTTAATGTAACTGAACGGTGGAGAGAACAATGGGAGAATAACGCTGCACCAGCTAACTGGTACATGCCATGTATTACAAGCAAACCTGAGAGCTTCAACCAACCGAGACGAATTTGGACCACACTCAATAGAATAAGGACGAACTGTGGCAGACGTTCCGACTCACTTTTTAGATGGGGAAAAATACAATCACCAAATTGCGACTGCGGCGCCGAAAGGCAAACAGTAAAACACATGGTAGAGGAATGCCCGATTAGATCCTATAATGGCATCCCTTCAGATTTCCTGGCTGCTACAAAAGAGTCAATCGAATATATTTATAATCTAGATGTTTGTTTGTAGAATAATATTTTTATATTTACTGTTGTTTGTAATTTATATAATTTATATTTATAGGTTTATATTTATATGAACCTGTGATGTAGCCATACGCTAAATAAATAAATGAAAACATGGTCGGTTAAAATATAAGCGAAGAGCAACGCGTAACAAAGACACAAAATCGTAAATATTTTTATTAAGTAGATTGTAACAAGCGTGTGGACTGAACGAATAATGGACTAGTTTTCCTGATGGGGGCAATGTGTCGTCTTGCCCGGCTATGTCAACTTGCCCACCCTTCCCCTAATACTTAATGCCTACATATAAAAAGGGAAATTTTGTACAAGTATGTAATGAACCTTCCGTTTCTTTGTTTATTTAAATAATGTGTGATTCTTTATTCATAAATACACATTAATGTTTTACATATCAGATTTTAATGGAAGTAATATGGAATATGTACTTAACACGTTGGACGCCATGGGGGTCACCGGTGACCACCAGTTCTGACGTCCCATTGCGCCGGTGGGTCACCGGTGACCTCCGCAACATAGCAATATACAAAGTTGTTTTCTGTGCCGGCGGTTACTCGTTTCGTTAATATTATATATAGAAATAACCGTCAAGGCGCTGTAGAATAAATCTTTTGAATTGTGTTACCAGGCGTGTTACCCCTGGATGACAAAGTGCAGTGTGAAGTGACTTGAGTTTTGATGCACCTGCCGCCGTGGTAGTAGCACAAGAGCAGATGCGCGATAAAGCATCCGCTGCTTGGTTGTCTTTTCCTGGTCGATACACAATGTCATATTTATACGATGCCAATTCAAGTCGCCATCTTTGTATTTTCTCATTTTTAATTTTGCTGAAATGCTTCGTGTTGAACATAAATGTTAGACTTTTGATCAGTAATCATTGTGAAAGACTTTCCTATAAGAAAATGACGCAACTTCTCCACAGCAGAATGGTTCAGCTCACTATAGTTAAGTGATCTTGAAAAGAAAGCAACGGGTCTGAAATCCTGACTCAAGGTAGCAGCAATTGAGTATTCTGAAGCATCAGTTTCAACAACAAATGGCAAATTTTCGTTCATAGCGTGAACAGACGACTTTGCAACTATAGATTTCAGATTTTCAAAACAAGATAAAGCATCTTCGTTTAATGGAAAATTGTTGACATGAGTTAATTTGTGGACCATTTCGGACAATTTGGGAATCCATTTTGAATAATGGGCCAACATACCTAATACCCTTCTGAGAGATGCAGTGTCATTCGGTGGAGGCATTTTTAATAAGGGTTGTAGTCTGCTAGCATTGGGCTTTATGACATGGTTTGGTCCTATAGTATAACCAAGTAATATTACCGTTCAGAAAGTTCTCAAGATTTTTGTCATGTTCTACCTTCGTCTTACCACAAACAGTTATGTCATCAAGGTAGGCATATATCCCTTAAAGGTTTTCTGTGCGTATGAGCCAGTCGATTGTTCTTTGGAAACTGGCTACACCATTGATACACCAAACGGAATGCGACAAAATTGATACAGCTTTCCAGCGGCTTCAAAAGCGGTGTACATCTTTTCATCTGGAAGTATTGGAATACCAACAGAATACCAGGTACCAACAGCGCGTAGAGGCATCGAAGGGCTTCAACGGGTCTCGTTGGTCCGATGGGACCATATGCGAAAATGTGGATGGCAGGGAATGTGTTAATGATGGCAGGTAAAAAAAGAAATTCTAAATGCACATAAATTTAACAATTTTATTTTATAAATTAATAATCAGATGACAATATAAACCATTTTGCAAGTTTTAATAATTACATACAACTAAAAATAGGTACACAAATCGATATTGCATCTACGTAGATATAAAAATTTGAAATTGTTTCACACTTCATTTTTTCCTTAGCATTTTCTAAAACGAAAATAACATAAAAATAAAATAATATATGGTACAGAGACAAGCTGAAATCATTTCCTTCACAACCTACTTAATTATTAAAAAAAGTTTTAAAATTAAAACAACATAATGGTTGATTTATAAAATGATTTCTACTTGTATAAATATAAACAAGTTGAATGAGATTGACAGTGTTGTTTGAAAGCTTTTTTGTGGCATCTATGTTTTTAAGACCTGTTGACAATTTGTCGTTAAAAATAATTTTTGTTGTGATATTTATTTTAATGAGTTAAATTTCACAACAAAAGTTTTCGACAAATTGTAGATCTAAATTAAGTAGAAAGATATACATTGGGGTTTAAAACGTTTACAGCGTAAAAAAAAATAAGAAAACCGTAAGTCAAATGTTGCCCATTGAAAATACGTGGCAAATATATTTTTAGTATTGATGATAGACATTTACAGACGTCATTATCCGAAAATTATTACCTAGTTATTCAGTTATCAATAAAAAAAGGGCCTTGTGCGACAACCATTAATCAATCTGGCAAAAAGGGAGTTCAAAACGGAAATATCCATTCTTAACGTATGAAATGCAAAACTACTACAAAAAATGAGATAAAAATAGGAGAGTTGAAACAAATATGTTTAAGCGTTGTTTAAGGTACTACTACTGTCTAGAATGCTAACAAATTACACATTTTCAACAATTTTTTCTATATTATTATAAAACTTTTGAAGATTTTTTTTCATTATTCCCGTATTTTAAAGTGGCATTAACAATTTTTCGTACAAAAATTACTGGTCTATGGCGGACAGTTAATCTCTGGAATGGAAAATCTGAAATATAAAATTCGAGAAGGGTTTTAAAAAAGAGGCACTTATTCTAATGTGACAGTTTACCAGAGAAATTGTTAATTCCTAAAAAAACGAAATGGTGGATATTTGAAAAAAATGTTCAAAAATTGACTTTTTTCGTATTTGTCTAATAAAAAAAAATTATTATTTTTTTTGTCACATTGTGGTAAACTGTCTTATAGAAACCCAAAACAAACAAAATCATTTATGTTTATTAAAATTAACTGACTAGATCCAGAGATTAACTGTCCACCAGTTTTAAAAACGTAGTTATTCTCAGAATCCTTTATGCTTGGATTTAGTCCATTGATTTTAATAAATCTTGATGTATTTTGCTATTTTGGTTTTGTCTATGATAGTCCACTACAATTTAACCAAATAAAAATAATAAAAAAAGTCAAAAGGTCAATTTTTTAACAATATTTTCAAATGTCTGCCATTTTGTTTTTTTTTTAATTTTTTTTAATAAGAGTTTTTATTTTTAATTTTTTAAAACTCTTCTCGAATTTTGTGATTCAAATTTGACGTTACAGAGTTAAACAACCCCCAATAAAGTAGTCAGTTTTGGAAGAAACTAAATTGAAAATTTAAAAAAAAAAACAAAATGGCGGATATTTGAAAAAGTTCGTCAAAAATTGACATTTTTTCGACTTTGGTCGGTCACAAAAATTTGATTATTATTTCTAATCAAACAGCAGTCAATTTTCTTACACAAAATCGAAACAAATAAAATGCATCAAGGTTTATTAAAATTGACTGACTAGATCTGGAGATTAACTGTCCTTCAGTTTTAAATACATAGTTTTTCTTAGAATCTTTTAGAAAAAAAAATCAAAATTTTTTTTTTGTTATCTTCAAATTGAAAATTAAAAAAAAAACAAAATGGCGTGTATTTGAAAAAATTGTTCAAAAATTAAATTTTTTTCGATTTGTTCAGTCACAAAAATTTTATTATTTTTTTGTCAAATTGTGGTAAACCTATAGAAAACCAAAACAAACAAAATTCATCAAGGTTTATTAAAATCAACTGACTAGATCCAGAGATTAACTGCCCGCCAGATTTAATCGCGTAGTTTTTCCCAGAATCCTTAATCTCCTGATTTACTAGGAGGATTTTATAAACCTTGACGCATTTTATTATTTTTTGCTTATCTCTATGAAAGCTAGAACTGCAATGTAACCAAATAAAAAAAATAATAAAATTTTTGTGGCTGAACAAAGTTGAAAAAAGCTAAAATATTTAAAAAGGAAAAATATTTTCGAATGTCCGCCATTTTATTTTTTTTGGAGCAGTAATTTTTGGACGAAAAATTTTTGCAGTCATCTTTAAAATACACAAACAAAAAAAACAGATTTTTTTTGTAATCTTTAAATTAAAAATAAAAAAAACAAAATGGCGCAAATGGCGCATTTGAAAATATGTTTAAAAATTGATTTTTTTTTACTTTATTCAGTCACAAAAATTTTATTATTTTTTTTTGCATTGTTTGACTTTTCTCTATGATAGTTTACTACAATTTAACCAAATAAAAAAAAATAATAAAATTTTGGTGACTGAACAAAGTAGAAAAATGGTAAAATATTGATAAAGGTGAAATATTTAAAAAGAAAAAATATTTTCGAATGTCCGCCATATTGTTTTTTTGGTGAGAGTTTTTAATTTTTAATATTTTAATATTTTTAATATTTTTTAAAACCCTTCTCAAATTTTACGTTTCGGGTTTGCCGTTCCAGAGGTTAACGGTCCGCCATGGAGCAGTAATTTTTGGACGAAAAATTGTTGCAGTCATCTTTAAAATACACGAACAGTGGAAAAAACCTGAACAATGTTTTTGCAATCTTTCAAAAGTTGTATAATAATATAAAAGAAGTTTAATTGCCATATATAATAAATAAGATAAAAAAAATTGTTGAAAATGTGCCATATTTTAGCATTCTAGACGATAATAGTACCGTAACTAAAACAAGATGTCATCATAAAATAGTAATAACATTGTAAAGAGAAAGTATGAAGTATAGGTAATGGATTTTATCAAGAGCCATGAGTCATGCCGATTCAGTACACGAGTTTACCTGTTATTTACAAGCGCATAGCTCTTGTCGAAATCCATTACCTATAATATACTGATAAAATGCCAAAAGTAAAATTATAAAAAGGATTTTTAGCTCAAATCAGCTGCAATGATTATGATGAAGTCAAGGGAGCACACAGAAAAAAAAGATATCTTTAGCCTCCAATACTACTGATACAAAAATTTAATCAAATACAAGGATTTAGTTCGTAAAACATAAAATTGTGCACTTTTAATTGTAATTATCGATAGACATATTTAGAGTGAAAGAAATTCGAGATCAAAGAATACCTAAAAGTGTTCAAAGAAAGCGATATTACTCCCATTAACAAGTAAAACAGAAATGGATATTTAAAATATTTGTATACAAAAGGCCTAAAAAAATTATGCACAAACTCCTGACTATACAGGCTTTAATTATAACGTCAATAAAATAAAATTAAATTGAAATAATTCTGATGATCAGTACATCTGCAAATCATCAAAATTTAGTAACTAGGCACATTTGGTCGATACATAGAAGTATCTGTAGCTACCAGCACGATCACAGCACCTAAGTACAATACGCACTATAGCATATTACATCACACAGCATAAAGTGCTTTGCGGTTTAAACTAAAAATATTTTAATAGAAACTGTAACGTGTTATTAAAAATGTTAACAACCATGTTAATGAGTCGAGCTATTAAGCTGTTAAATAGATACCACATTTTTTCGAGCTGTTGCAGATTTATTCTGTTATTAAAAATATTCAAACAATTCCAAATTTCTCAATCAAGGAACTAACGTACTCACTATTTAAAAGATCTATTAAAAAATATACGCTTTGTTATAATATAGATACATAGCAATATACATAAACCTTTAAAATCATCCTCAGGATATACAATCTTAACATTTACACCTTACTAATTATAATATCAGTCTTTTGAGTAGGTACTAAATTACAAGCAAAACCACATCTCTTCTTAAGAAGTGAATAAACTCACAAAACTTTTTAAAATAAATAACGGTCATATTTCTTATATCACAGATTTCAGTCCTAGACCGAGCGGTCCGTTATATTTCTTTTGTTTTTCGTATGGTCTTCTTAACTTGAAGAAGCCATTTTTCAACACGACTTTACTGAACATCTCTAACCGGCACTGTAGACGGTCTTCAGTAGAAGCAGCATTTCTTGAAGATGGCTTCCTTTTGGCAACGTTGAATTCACGGAGATTACTGAATACTAAAACCAAAATATTAAAGTTAGATATACGATTCATTTATCTGTAAAATGAGACACAAATATTGTAACAAATATAAAATCTACATGAACATGATGCGAGAAATTTGTTATGAAAAATTTAAAAAACAAGCATTTACAAAAGCATTCTCTATAGGCAAGAGAACTAACTATTTTCCCATGATACTCGTTGATATAGGTATCTAACAATATGTAATAAACAAAACATCATTTTTTACTTATAAACAATATCTAAACAATGTAAGATCACACATTCGCCGACACAGCAACAGCGGCGAAAGACAGAAACAGAGATGTAGTAGTAAACAACCTGCAAACCGCGTTGGAAAATATCGAAGAATGTAGTTTACAATGGAAAATCGCCATAAATTCCAAAAAAAACGCAAGCGGTGCTCTTCAAAAAGAAACATCAACAGCAAGAATAACAACAAGCAGTGCAAGAAAATCCCATCGAATTAAAAAGCGAAGCAAAATAGCTAGGAGTCATAATGGTGAAAGGACTAACATTCACAAAACATGTAGACGCTACAATACACAAACCAAACATGGCAAAATGAGACTAGTTTCATCCAGAACGGGGTGTCAGACAAGGATGTATACTATCTCCACAATTATTCAACATATATGGGGAGTATATTATGCGAAGAGCACTTGAAGGATGGGAAAAAGGCATCTCAATAAATGGTCATAAACTAAACAACCTATGTTTCGCAGATGACACAGCCTTTCTTGCAAATAGTCAAGCAGAGCTGATGGAACTTATACGACTGATCGAAAACGAAAGTCAAATATTTGGTCTGCAATTAAACATATCAAAGACAAAGATCATGACAGTGGATAGACTACATAACAATCATCCACACATAACCACAATTGACCGGTTCGAGGTTGTGAGCTCATACTTATATCTGGGATCATTAATCACAAACACAGGGTCATTACAAGAAGAGATTAAACGTAGATGTGATCTAGCAAAAGTTGCCACAGCAAAAATGACCAAAATATGGAAGGACTGTCAAATTTCAAGAGCGATAAAGATGAGGTTGATCAACTGCTTAATATTCACAATACTGACCTACGGATGTGAATCTTGGACTCTGAAACAATCGGAGAGAAGAAAGATAGACGCCACTGAAATGTTCTGTTGGAGACGAATGTTACGAATTCTTTGGACCGACCGTAGAACAAATAATTCAATTTTAAGAGAGCTAAAAGTTAGCCAACGACTCTCTAGTAAAGTCCATCTCCAACAATTAAACTATTTTGGGCATGTTATGGGAGCAAACACAGAAAACATGGAAAGACTCATAATACAAGGAAAGGTAGAAGGCCGAAGATCACGAGGAAGATCCCTAACAAGATGGATAGATCAAATTACAGGAATATGCCAAAGACCTATGCATGAATTAAAAGAAATGACCAGAGACAGAGATCTCTGGAGACGGACAATACACGACATCACGTTGACCACTACATTCCCCTGGTGGGTCAGGATTGAAGAGAGAGAGAGAGAGAGAGAGAGAGAGAGACTAATAAATAGTATCATACTTCCGATACTAACGTACGCACCTCTCGCATGGCGACAGGTATGCCATACAACAAAGAAGAAGATACAAGCGGCTCACAACAGCAAGTTAAGAGAAGCAGTTAATGTTTCAAGATACGTTGCAGAACGATTCATTTTCAAAGAACTGCAACAAATCATGGTGACGGACATAATAAAGGAAAAAGCCAGGATAAATTCGCAGAACTGGAACATCACCCGAGTCCCATAGCGCGAGAGATCATGAGCTATGACGCTTTCCATCGATGGAAGCACAAACAAAAATAGAGGAATAAAAATAAAAGGTATCGAGAGGGACAAAAATATACACAAACCCAACAGAGAAAACAAACCCAAGAGAGAGAACTATTAAATAAATAAATACCCAAAGGGAATACAAACCCTAGAGAGAACAACCACTAGAGAGAAAATAAAGGAGAGAACAAGGACAGTTCGTAGCTCTACCAATTCAGACTAACACCAAGCACTTTGTAGGCCCCAACAATGAAGACCTTCCACCACGACGTCCTACTAAAAAAAAACTAATAAAAAACATTAAAAAGAAAAAGAACAAAAAACTCTAACAAAAACCGGCGCAAGCCACCAAAAAAAAACTTTACCCACCTAAAATCAGCTCACAGCGGACGCTTGAGACAAAAGTAAGCAAATTTCAGTTCCACGGATAAGTCACAAGAGAACAACAGAAATAAAGTGCGTCACCCTGTCCTGAATTTAAAATTGATTAGGGAACCACGTTCGAGTTCTTTTACCCAGGACTCCCACATGAAGAGCATTTGGCTGAATTGGGGGGGTGGTGGAGGGGGGAAGGAAAATTTGGAGCATTGGAGAGACGTGGAGGTATTATTCCTATTTTATTCGAATTAATACACCTCGCTCCAATGAATTGTTATACCCGAACGTAATCCTAAGGGGTGAACATGTCTTACAGGCTGGATGTAATTAAATTGCTTGCTTGTTTACATTAGGGAGGCACGCGGGACGTCTCATCGCGCATTTTGTTACGTGGGATGGATCGGCACGCAGCACGGGACAGCAATTTTTGCTGCGGAATAGGACACGGGACGGGACTGCGATTGTTTTGCAAAACGGAAGTCAAATTTGCGTAAGTCGGGATATAATTTCGGATAATAATAATTGAGGCCTTTAGTCAAGTTTTTAACCACAATTTGATCTTCTGATTAAACTCGGCCTAAACAATAAAATTTTTAATATCTTGTTCTTGATCATGCATTTTTTATACGAGCTCATCGATTAGCTCCTGGTTATTGGAATCCAGCAGTTCCTGAACGTCATCACTATCCACTTTTAAATTTATTCGCCTGGCGAAATCGACAAATTCTTTATTCGAATTACCAATTGAATCAAGCTCTGGCGTCGAACCCACCTGGACGTCAGTGAGGAAAAAGAGGTTTTCAACGTACACCAAATGATCATTGGCACAAGTGTGCAAATGATCGTCCGATGTAATAAGTTTTGAGACAGAGTGATGATTCACAGAGTCTATCTTCGTTGAGTCTACCTAGACACAACCGTACATAAGAAATACGTTACACAAAATAATTGTTTCTTAATTTCGCCATATGCTAGCTAGGGCCCTGGCCAATCCGCGTACTGTGCGCAAAGCTCCTCACCTTAAATGGTCAATGAAAGTAATATTAATTTAAGATATATTATCAATCAAACTGTTCGAGCTGCTGAAGCCCAATTATGAACCACAACACATCTACTAAGATGTTAATGACTGTGATGATGATGACTCTAATAATCGATCACCGACATAAATTAGAAGCTTTCAATTTATTGGAATGAGGTCGTTCCGAGAAACACAGACAAAAATTAGAGAATTATATAAGAAATATGAAAAAAAATCTTTAGTCTGGAACAAACAGGAAAAGATCTTTTTCTGGGACCTCTAGTGGTGAGGACGATCTCAAAATGTCTCAAAATTTTGTACTAGAAAAGGGTGCGTCTTGACGACGATCTGGATCGATATCTAGCAGAAAAACGAGAAAAACACTCATCTTAGGAGAAAGGCTTTTCTCTAGAGCCGCCTTGACCATGAGGAAAAAAAGTAGCTGGCTCAGTGAGTATTCAGTGGCTGCGATCCTCTGTGTCCAGTCATGGACAAAAGATAAACTATTTTTTAATTTAGTTAAATAATGCTTGTAGATATCTATAACTGAAGATTTGTAAAATAGACGAATATTTATGTAAGTACTTTTTTGTTTAAGTGTGTCTTGTGACTCTCTTATATACACAGTGTGTCTGTGCCATTAAGTAGGCACCAAATGGGAATTTCTTTTACTTTTTTGTTTTTTTAAACTTTTTATTTGATTAAATACTCCATTTATTTAGCCAGACTTAAGGAGATACAAAATTAGTAACAAACGGAAATCTGATAATACGCTTTTTGAGAATGCTGACAAAGCGTTATATCGGAAACTCAATTCTACTACAGAAAGTGCCAATAAATCGTACCCAAGCCAAGAAGAAATTCATGAGTTTTAGAGAAATCATCTTTACACACCAGCTGCTCTTAACAACAATGCAGGATGGATCGAAGATACGACGCACAACTGTCAACACTACGTTACTATTCCCTACAAACTTTTCACTAATAAAGAAGTATCGAACATCAAAGAGCTTTATACCGAGAAATCCCATGGACCAGACGGAGTTCAAAACTTCTGGCTCAAGAAGTTCTGGGATGTTCATGAGAGCTTAACAGCATTAATTAATCACACTGTTTCTAATCAGCACTAAATACCATCATTTCTATCCCAGGGAACAATTTATTTAATACCAAAGGATCAAAATAACACCCAAGATCCAACCAAGTATCGCCCAATTACTCGTCTTCCAACCTTGTATGAGTTGGTCACATCCTGTGTAGTTCAGCACATCTACCAACACTAAGCTCTAAACCATACAGCCTCAACAGAAGGGTTTCATGAGTTGTAAAGAACAACTTATCATCGACTCTGCCTTTTCTAATTAAGCATATACCAAAAAAGAACCTCTCTACTGCTTTTATCGACTAAAAAAAAGCGTTTGATTCAGTGCCACATGTATGGCTTATAGATAATTAAAAATATATCAAGTAGATGGTAATATAGTGACCTTTTTAAAGTATATAATGTCAGATTGGAAGACAAAAATTCACCTCCAAATACCTTGTGAAAACAATATCGCAATAGAAAAGATTGCAATCAACCCGTTCCTATTTCAAGGAGACTCGCTGAGTCCATTGTGGTTCTTAGCGATGAACCCCCTAGCATCAAAAATAACACTACTGTAAAGGGGAAGCTTAATCATTTATTGTATATGGAAGATTTGAAACAATGGCAGCTAATCTGGAAAGCTCAACGTACATGGCGCTACTGTAGTTGGAGGTCATATCAACTGTCCAAATCTGTATATTTCTAAGTAAATATTGGTTTAAGTGTGTATCATGATCATCATTCAATCATCGCTTATCCACTGCTGGACATAGATCTCCTCATAATTATCCATCTATTTAGATCTTGTGCCTCTTGCTTCCAATTCCTATGATAACGTTTTAGATCGTCAGTTCAACGTGTTGGTGGACGACCTCTGCTTCGGTAGGCATCATCTCTTGGTAGGCTTTGTCCATCTATTATCTGTCATTTGAGCCACGTGACCTGGCCAGTTTCATTTCAGTGTTGCTACTCTCTCTACTGCATTAGCCACTCCTGTTCTTTGTCGTAGCTGGCGATTTGCGATCTTGTCTCCTGTAGTCCCTTGTAGTGAAACGCCTAACATATCACGCTCCATCGCCCTTTGGCATAACACCCTACGTGTGTATAGGGACCATAAAATATTTGATTTGATATTGGTTTTCCAACAGAACAGTCTGGTCAGTTTCTGGACAGGCGAAGCAATGAACTTCTGGCAGCGATACAACATTTTTCATAAATATATTAAAAGTGATGATTTGTAATGAGTTTTGTTTTAAGGCAGCACAAAACTGCATTCGATGTATGGTAGGTAGCTAAAATTACAATATTTTGTAATATTGACTGTATATACTGTATATATTACATGACTGTATTAGTTCAAACCCAAATAATAATGCATCACTATAATACTCAGACTAATATAAATATTTCTATTTTGGTCTGAGATGAAAAAATGAAACATTAAGACGATGATTAATATACCTAGTTTAGTTTTGGATAACGACTTCTTTTTTTTTCAGTAATTCTCGCATTTCTTCTCCTCAATTCTTTTAAGTCCTCAAATAGTCCAAGGTCCTTATTTTTCTGTCATAATTTATTAAATCGCAATAATTACAACAAAAATACCATTAAAATCCAAAGAATTGTCAAAATGTGTTGACCTCCTGTATACCTAACTATACTAGCGCCGCCAAGCGGAAGCAACGGCGTACATAGCTGCCATTGGCTTCCACTCGAATTTCTATTTTACATCTAGTTGGTTCTAAACTGACTATTGTTTTAGTTTTCTGAGATAAGATTGACATATTAAATTCTTTTGTTCTCCTATGTTAAATCTGTGGAGAAGTCTTTGTAAACAATCTTCATCTTGGGCTATCAATATTGCGTCGTGTACGTAACAGAGTATTTTTACTACCTATTTCTATAGGTTCTGTAAGTACCCCATCTATTCTAACTTCCATTTTGTTGTTTTGATAGATGCTTTCTATATTTAGAGGAACTTTTCTATTATACAGAAGATGGATTACATCACATTAAGGCGAAAATTTTACAAAGGTTTTGTAAATTCAAAGCTTACATGCAGTGTAAGTAAAATCCTTATAATCATTTAGTTTTACTAGTCCACTCCTCCGTTAATACTTTACAATTTTGTTGATTTTTAGTGTTTGAAATGAGTGATTTTTATTTTTTCGAAATTTATGGATTCCATTATTACATTCTTGCAAAAACAAAGCTGTTGATGTATAAATTAAAGAAAAAGTTAAGAAGTAAAACCGTATTTAAATATTTCAAAACGTGCAATATTAATAAATGAAAAGCAGACATATTAAGTACTAGCAAAAAGCCCGTCATTAATGTATCTTGAATGAAAGACAAACACAAATGAAAATAGTAAATAAAAAATAATACTAACTATTTTACATCCTTAAAATTTGCTGCCGTTCATGGTCTTTAACACAAAAACACAAAACTGGCCCTTACCAGTAAGGACTATTATTATCTAAATGTGTCCAACTAGCAAATTCCGACCACGATTCCATTTTTGCTTGTACTATATCATTACATTTTCTTATTGCCTAGAAACAAATTATTTTGGTTTACTTTCAATATCACAGTTAATAAGTTTGCAAGCAATGCAGAAGAAGTGAAAGACTCAGGAATTATGAACGAGCTCAATGTTGACAAACCACTACAATAGTACGTGGTTTTGTTACTTTTTGATAACATTTTAGAGACCCTGTAACAAAAAATGATGTCAGTGGTATTTATGCTATACTACATCAATTAATTAAAATATCTTAGTAAAAATCTAAATAATGTTATTTACTGTAAATTCTGAGTCTCTCATCTTTTACATTTTAAAAAGGCAACACCAAGTAATAGAGATGGTCATATTTTTTAAGATACCACTAATAAAGTATAAGATTTTTTGAACAAATGTGCAATTATGATCTATTTGAACCAACGAGATAACACTTTGATCTAACCATCATATTATGAAAATATAAGGAAAATAAAACATATAAAAGGGAAGATTTACCTTGAAAAAAATAACAAAAAATATTTTAGAATTTGCTTGTTCTGTAATTAGCAATTAACTTTTGACCTAATCAAAGTTGAGTATATAAAAATGATTGCCTGTTTACCAATGTTTCATATTAGTATTTTTTTTTGTCCCAAACTTTTTATCTATTAGTATTAAAACATACTTGGGATCACAGGATTAATAACATAAGGGATGCTGATTATTTTCCAAGCTATGTTAAAAAAAATACGTTTAAAGTTTGTTTAGCAGAAAATGGTTGACTTCAATTAGTGCGGTCGTAAATATTATTAAATTGATCTGACTTGACCCATTGTTAAGACCTTGTACCTCAGATAAACAGTTGTTACCTGAAACCGGGCCTTTTATACTATTATCGGTTAACCCAGGATGTTTATAGTCGATACTAATTTGAAGTCAACTATTTAATGCTAAACAAACTTTAACTTGATGTGGTGACTGGGCTTCAGGCAGACAGAAAAATGCGAAGGGAGCAAGTGAATAGCAACACGTAAGGTAGATAAAGGTGCATATACCGTGCTCAACCCTGCATGGCAGTTATGTGTTTAAAGAGAACTGTTACGAACAGTCTGCTGGCGATAACAGGGTAGGTCTTTTTTGATATTATGTTATACTTGGTAAGGACGTGCACTTGCTATGTAATTGACGACGTTTACTTCTTTCGTACTCGTGAAATCAAATCAATAAGATTTAACAACTGCTTTTAATACGATTTGGTGATAACACTACGTAATAAATAAAATATACAAAATTATAAGTTATTTTTTTACTTATAAACAATATATCGGAAGTTTGGAAGCATCAAGGCGAACTACAAAAATCACGTTTCGGGAAAACTGAGTATAAAGTTTAAAGACATGTAAAGGCGGACAAGTTTTATTAAGGGTTTTACAAGATTTGTTAGATTTTTATGAAAAAAAAAAAGAAAAGAGGTTTCTTCTTTTTCAATTTCCGCTCCTATCGGAGATTGGAACTCATTCTGGCAATTATAATTTTGTTGGTTACGCGCCTGAATAGTTCAATTGAACTGCATCCAAACCATTCACGGAGATTGCGTAGCCACGAGATTTTACGTCTTCCCTTCCTCTGCCTTTGATTTTACCCTGCATTATATATATATATATATATATATTATATATATATATATATATATATATATATATATATATATATATATATTCCTTAGTAGTTCGAAGAAAAAGGGGTTTATTATTTTTTATTCTGCAAAAACAAACATTGTTTTTTTATCAGGTTTCTGTGGAAGCTATTGGTAGTGGAATAAGTTGCAAAATTTACAAATAAAGCTTTAATTAAACTTAACAATATTTGAGATATAGTTTCTGCTTTTTGAAGAACGCTGAAATCCTTAACCATTTCTCTCGTGACACTAACAACTTGGAATTTGTTCTTTTTTTCGTGTGTGCAATGAAATGGATAGAATGTTGTTTAGAAAATGCTTCACAACAACGTTAATGTTTTTATTTTGCTCTGCACAGTTATCAATAAACAGTATAACTCTTCTCACGTGCTTTTTAACCAAGTTCTCCAAATAATGACTGAGAAAACTTGCTATTTCGCACGATCCACGTTTAGCAACGGTTTCATCCCATACACACATAATGGCTGTTCCTGTTTTAACGTTGTGGATTCCTTAGTTGTAAGTGCACATTTTTCTTTTGAAATATTGTACTTTGCAAGTAATTTTAGACGTATGTAATGCCTTTTGTAAATTAACACATACAACTTCAATATTTTCAGCCTGGTTGCTTTCGTAGCTTTTTATCATATTTAAAGCAGCTTTTTGATTTATTAAATAAACCTTCAGTTCTATATTCAATTCAGTTCTTCTGGAAGAATTCGAGTTGCTAGTTTTTAACACATTAAATTAAACTTTAATCTTACGCAGGTATTACAAACGAGATCAAGAAAGGCGTAAGACAGGGTTGTATACTCTCACCGACCTTATTCAATCTATACTCCGAAGACATTATAAACACTTTCGGATCAAAATATAGGTATTAAGATAAATGGCATCCGAATAAACAACTTGAGATATGCCGATGACACGGTACTAATCGCAGAAACTTGGGAAGATCTTCAAATACTAATTAACAAAATAGTAGAATGCAGTGAAGAACACGGATTATCACTTAACATAAGCAAAACAAAAATAATGCTAATATCTAAATCACCACAAAACTTCCCTGACATAACCGTGCATGATCAAAGAATCGAACGTGTAAGAAGATATAATTACCTGGGAACTGTTATCAACGAAAATAATGATTGCTCTGAAGAAATCAGAACCAGAATAGAGAAAGCTAGAGCCACATTTACTAAATTGAAAAAGGTGTTCTGCGGAAGAGATCTAAGTCTAAAACTTAAAATTCGCCTTTTGAGATGTTACGTTATGTCAGTTCTCCTCTACGGAATGGAAACATGGACATTGAAAAAGATCGATACCAAAAAGATAGAAGCATTTGAGTTGTGGATGTATCGTAGAATATTAAGAATACCCTGGACAGAGAAAATAACAAATGTGGAGGTTTTGCGGAGAGTGCGGAAAGAGAAAGAGCTGATACTTACTGTTAAAAAGCGCAAACTACAATATTTGGGACATGTTATGAGGGGAGATAAATACCAGTTGCTGCAATTGATTATACAGGGAAAGATAATGGGAAAGGGATCTATAGGAAGAAGAAGGCATTCATGGTTGAAAAACTTGAGAGAATGGTACAATTGCACCAATTACCAACTGTTTAGATCTGCAGCATCAAAAATACGCATAGCTTTAATGATAGCCAAACTTCGGAACGAAGACGACACTTGAAGAAGAAGAAGGTATTACAATATCAATAGATCAATCAATAGAAGGAGGCTGACTATCTATATTGAATTCGTTGACAAAGATATTTCCATAGTAGGACTCTATCACTGGCTGTTCTTTAGGATATGTGTTCCTTAGCCATTCTATGTAAGCTCCTTATGCCCAGTAATTGGAAAACCTGGTAGCATAAACTTTCGAAAACGACTTTTAGATCTGTTATAGTGACTGGAAACGGTAACAAGAGTATCAGTGTGATCTCTGACCAATTTTTTTTCTATATCCAACCATTTAATTTCCTAAACTTAGCTTCTCTCTGTTATCACCCAGCACAGTTCCTGTGGTGGTCTGCTTGTCTAAAATAAAGCGAACACTTTTTTGCTTATACCATGGATGCTACTAAAAGCCTGACGACAAACACATTTTCTTTCTTCATTGATTGAAATACCATATTCTATGGTCCGAAGCTTCCTACTAGCTGTGTCAGTAATTTAAGACTTTCTACAATCTTTCCAACTTAGCACTTTTGAAAGGTTTTGGTTTTGATTATCGTAGTTGCCGATTTGTCAAAAATTATTGAAAATCATATTCTTATTCGTGTCCGACTTTTCAAAACACGTTTTACGACACTTACATGGCAGTCCGATTATTCGAGCAGATACAATTCCTTTGTATTTCTTGAAACGTACGCTCCACCAGTTTTGTTTGGTTTTGCCAACGATATCGAGCCATTGCCAAAAAAAAAACGAAACAACGTTAAGGCTAATATAATGTAGGTTTTTTTACAAGTAATAAATACTACAAGCAGCACAGGATCGTACTGGAAAACTCAAGAACACCGCATACATCTCAGACTGTCGCACCAACTACAAAAACACCGGCGCGTTAATACGGTTATAGCGGAGAAGGGGCAAACCTTGAACTCAAACGCAACAAAAGCCTATGGGTTCGCCCTTGCTCTTCTAACAATTATTATGCAGTTATTATACATACACATTCTTTAAAAGTATTCGAGGAAGATGAGAATGTTTTTGGAACGAAAATTTTGCGAGTTCGCCCTTACTCTTCCAAGCTCCTGATAATGTAAGATCGCTATTTCATTTTAAATACTAAATAAGTGATGGATTTGGCTGTTACTTCATGGAAATTCATTTTATCTAACAATAAAACACTGAAAACTTTTGTTTTCAACTGAAATAATTTGAGGAGGGGAGAACTGTTTGTCTCAAGTTCATCATTGGTCATTCAGAATTATGTCTGTATTTTTTAATTTGTTGATTTCCATAGATTCTAATAAAGATAGCTTCAGGCCTTTATTTTGGATGTAAAGAATTTGAAATTCATCATTAAAAGAATAATTACGGCCTAGAAGGTCAAGTGCGTACGTAGAGTCTGTTTTTCTATTATTGAAAATCCTTTTATGTGCTGCTATACGTGTGATCAAAGTTCTACCAGTTTGACCGATGTAAGTTTTTTGAGCAGTCGCCACATTTTGGAGCAGAAGGAACTGGTTTTTTTCTCTGGTGGTAGAAATACTAATTACAGGGCTTTTTTAAGTAGTTTTTGATTTAAAATTTTATTTATTGTGTGTTTGTTGTACCCATTGTTTACTTCCATTTGTTTAATGATATTCGGTTCTATCTCTAAGTTGTTTTTTGGCATGGGAATTTCTATTAATCTATGTAACATGCTGTGGTAGGCAGCCAATTTATGTTGTGTAGGATGGAAGGATAAATTGTGTATAGTCGCGTCAGTATGGGTAGATTTATGAAATACGGAGAACTTATGATAGTTTTGAAGTCCGATAATTTTTAAATCTAGAAAATTTATGACTTGATTCTGCTGTTTTTTTTTACGAATTCAATATAATTATGTAGTGAATTAATATACGATAAGAATTGGTCAAGTTGTTTGTTAGTGCCTGTAAATCATACCAGTACATCGTTTACGTTTCTCCACCAATACAAAAACTATTTGAGTATGGAATGTTTTGAAATCTTTGTTTCTAGATGGCCCATAAAAATATCTGATAGCAATGGGCTTAGAGGATTACCCATCAAACTTTTTTGTGCATTGTTAGAAAAGATATTTTTTGCAATAATTAAGCAACAAAGTAACAAACATAACTTAGCAAACCCTCTTATTAAAGGATTTTCCATGCTTTTTATCTAATGCTAAATCAAATAGCGATCTTATATTGTTTATACCTTGTTTATAAGTAAAAAATGATGTGAAATCTTTTGCATATTTTCTTTTTGACATATTGGTATCACCAAATTTATCAAAACCTGTTGTTGGATACCTGTATCAACGAATGTCATGGGAAATATTTAGCTCTCTGGTCTAAAACCAAAAGTAGAGGAGGATTAAACGAACAGGAATTCATAATTACTAGGAATAGTATGATATCAAGTTTACATAAAGGAAATTATGGGTTGCTAATAAACAACATGAAGCGGTTTCATATAACCGCCAGTTTCACAAGGTTAGTTATCTTCTGGTTAGAATTATCTAGGGGATGTATTAAAATTTTTGTTTCACAATATAAGATTTACAATCGACATGGTGGTTAACCTTATAATACTAAAACCTCTAGATAAAAGTATAAAGAACGATCAGGGATTTCGAATTTGATTATGGAGAGAGTTTATCCTTTATTTAATTATCAAAGGACGTTAAAACTAAGATAAACTTTTTAACAACGATTAAAAGTTGTAAAATCAACGCTAATTCAAGATTAAATCAAATACTTTGAAAAATTGGCTAATGCAGACTCTTTCAGACTTCAAGAATCTCTCACTGGATGAGTGTTTCGGACTGTCTTCTAATGCTTTGTGAATGGCAGCATAGTACAAATGCAACAATTATTGCGTAGACTTAATTTTTGTACAATTAATTTGTCCAATCAAAGACGACGCGATAGTTCAAATGATTTTTCTTAAGAATGTTTTAATAATATTTACTTAGTAACTTGGCAGGCCTAAAAATTACATTTAAAATAAGAGAATGGGCACAAAAAAAATGTGCTGTAACAGTTTCTCTGAATTGTTTTAAGGATTTATTTATTGCATATTTGGCTGATTGTAAAATCGATCCTTATAAGTATTATACTAATTTCTCCATTTCATAACATTCAATGTAAACCTACCTGGCTTTCCTTTTCCTTTCTTGAATATATATCATCGTTGGACAGAGATCTGTGAAGAGACGATTTCTTTAAGAGCACATAATTCTTATTGTAGTTATTATCCCAATATTCTTTTCCATCGCATTTGAAGCAAGCACAAAATTCAAGCTTTTTAGTATTATTTGGAAGTGGAATTTTGAAAGAGAAGGTATCATAAAGAACATTAATGTTAGTATTCATATTGTTTGGCACGTAGGTACAAAAGCAGTCTTCATAATTTTTCCAATCGTTAGTGGAACACCTGAAACAAAAAAAATTCATTCACTATAAAAAGTAATAAAACTATAAATAAAAGATGGGAAATAAATAAATAAAATAAAGCTGTTGTGTTTTAACTGCTGTACTTAAGATATGGTTTTAACGGAAGTGGGCTGCTTTCATTTGCAAGCCTCGGTGAGAACCAAAGAAACACGAGTATTTCAAGAACTAAAGAATTATAATTTAGATCTATATATCCTCACAGAAAAAAAGAAAACAGGAAAAGGAAATAAAAGAAAAAAAATAATTTTCTTTCTATATGTAAAAGTTCTAGAGTATGTTAAAGTTTTAGAATAAAACGGTAAGTCTCTATAGATGTACATAAAAAGTATAGTAATATACCACGGAAATCGCTGTTTTAATGAGATAGAAATCAAAACCTCAAATGTAGTAGTTAATAGACAAATGACAATAGTATCAAAACAATAATAAAACTTCCACAATCTAGTTAACTGTTATATTATGTCCACAAGCATTGTTCATAAATTGTTATTTAGAAAAGAACTTGGTACTAAACACTGACATTATTATAATGTGATATAGTTACAAAAAGATTTGAGCTAACCAAATTAAACTAGCTTACATCAACACAGAATTAGATCTAGACCAAGAGATCAGAGTACGAATAGAAATGGCAAGGGCGGCGTTCTTAAAATTCAAGCAATTGTTCTGTGAGAAAAATCTGAATACTGCGCTGAGACTGAGGTTTGTTGAATGTTACGTCTGGTTCCAAATATTGTACGGGATAGAAACATGAACGTTAAAAGCGCAAATAATTAAGAAGCTTGAAGCCTTTTAACTTTGGATATACCGGAGAATGTTGAGAATTCCATGGACTGCCAGGGTCACCAATGAAGAAGTGCTGAGAAGGATGGGTCGAGACAAACAATTGTTGAGAATAATAAAAGTACGCAAGACTGCATACCTTAGACACATTCTTCTTCTTCTTCAAGAGCCCTCTCCGTTACGGAGTTTGGCAATCACCATTGCTATTCGTATCTTTGAAGCTGTTGCTTTAAATAATTGGTTAGATGTGCACTGGAACCAGTCTCTTAAATTGCGCAGCCAAGATATACGTCGTCTTCTCAAGCTTCGTTTGCCCTGAAACTTTCCTTGGATAATTAACTGGAGCAATAGGTACTTTTTCCCTCTCATCACATGACCAAGATATACCAACTTTCTTCTCTTGAAGGTGATCAACGGCACCCGTTCTTTGTTCATTCTTCGAAGAACTACACTATTTGTTATTTTGTCTGTCCAAGGTATTTTCAAAATTCTTCTATCAATCCAGGACAGATACCGAGGAATGATAAATATAGGCTTCTGCAGGCCATCATGCAGGGTAGAGTCGATGGCAAAAAGGGAATAGGTAGAAAGAGGAAGTCATGGGTGTGAAATATTCGAGACTGGACAAACATGACTGTATATGAATTATTCCACGTTGCAAAAGACAGAAAAACTTTTAGAAATGTGGTCTCCAACCTTAATGGGGACGGCATAGGAAGAAGAAGAAATTAAACTAATACCAAGCAGTCCAACAATATTATTAAAAAAAAATTAGAAATATATCAGCAGCTACCTAACCAAAACAATTAATAAAATAGGAAATAAAGAAGTGTATTAACATTGAATATTTGATGGTCCTCTTCGGAGTACAAAAAGACGGTCGACTTTTATCCCGCGCTGATGTATACCTGTACACTTTTACGAAGGGAGTTGTACATCCACCTATAAGTTGATCGTAATCCATATCTGCAAAGTATGTTGTCGACTTGGGATAGTGTATACAGTGCATTCCGTATGTTTTTTACACATGATCAGGGGAAATGGTTGCCTGATGACTATCGAAGAACCGTCTATGGCCAACATATATTCTTACCGGAGACCAGAAGTACAATAACAACTTAATACGTATTAAAATAAATTAATTAGGTCGTAGATAAAATATAGTATGCAACTCGTTATTGTTAACTTTCAGCATTGAAACGTTACAGGTTTAATATATGTCAAAAAGAAGTATGTCAATGAAACAGTATATACAGTGCACTCCGTATGTTTCGAAGAACCGTCTACGGCCAACATATATTCTTACCGGAGACCTCTGTACAATGTCAGCTTTTTTAGTCGTGTTTGTCGTAGATAACATATAGTATGCAGCTTGTTATCGTTTCTACACGCGTAACAGTCTTAAATCGTCAAACAGCAAAAATATGTCTTTCATATCCCCCACGTCGGTGGACGGATTTTGTTGTGTTGGTCTGTAGCTTCGTTGTGACATTATTTACGAAAAAGAAGAAGAATTGATCGTTGACAGACGAAGAAGAATTGACAGTTGACAGTCGCTAAGAAAAATAATTGACAGTTGACAAATGGCTCCGGTCTTGCCTAAGGTTCATGCTCGCCCGGTAATGCATATTCAATGCTTACCGACAGTGACGTCAGAATAGACTCTGACCGTCTGTCTAAAGTGTCCCATCCTCTAAATTTAGGAAATTAAATACAAAAAATGCTTGATATCTGACACGAAATAATCCAAAATCTTTTTAAAATAAAAATGCGATACTAAGTTATAATTTAAAAGAATAAACGATATTCTGTCAAAAGTACAGGTTATATTTCTTTTACTCACCTCACAAAAACCTCTTTGTGGAAAGATAAGTTTCTAACTTTCACGGTACCCAGTATACTATCCTCAGCCTCCTTGATGATAACGTTTTCTAGAGTTACATTGTTCGTATCTAGTCTCTTTCTGAAAGCAACGTAATCAGAAGCAGGTTGAGGAAAGGTGATTTCCCACGTGTCGATTTGTCCCACGGGATCTGCATTCAGTCCTTGAGTTACTTCGGCTAGGAATCTGTAGCTCCATAGGGGTGGGACGTTGGATGGTTCAGTCATCACGCGGACGTGAGTGAGGGACATGCCTTTATCATCGGCAAATACGACCTGGAAAGTAAAATGTTAATTAGAAAAAATGTTGGTTTATTATATTTATATGGAAAAAATTAGAAAAAAATTTATCGATATGCGATAAATTATTTTATTTTAATTTAGTTAATAATAAAGTGATCCTTTAATTTGAAATTAAAGGAAAAAATTGGATACAATTTTCACAAGTAACTCTTTACGTTTAGACGTAAAAGAAGAAATGACAGATGTAAAAGCGCAGAATGGATTTAGAGCTGGTAGATCTTGTACAGATAATTTCTTCTGTTTTAGACAGCTAATCGCGAAAAAACTAAAGAATTGGATAATAAACTACACTTATAATGAATTATTGAATTTAATATATCGACTTCCTCTTCTTCTTTATGTATGTTGCCTGGTCCCTTGATATTGGCCATCATCTGCACAAGTTTAAAAAGTTGGTTGGCATTGCGGATACCTATCCAATTGCTAAGTTTCTTCAGCTATGATTCTTGTTTTCTACCAATTCTAAGATACGATACGGGTTACCTCTAAAAATGTTACTAATAGAACATTTTTCAACATTTTGTAGTTCTTAAGAGTTTCCGAATATTGTTAGCCCTTTGCAAAACCTCTTCATTTGGTTTTTACAAATTTGGTATTAGTAGTACCTATTGCTTGTGGTGTTTCCTTATCATTAAGGTTTTGTTAAAGAAAGCTGATTGCCAGAACTGCTACTTATTCATGCATTGATTCTGCAGATGAATAAGTTGTAGCTATAAAACAGCAAAATATCTCGATATTTTAGATACCCTTAGGGTTGTGCAAGTCTCTCAGACTGGGTTCTTTGCCATCAATAATAAATATTGAAAAGTAATGATTTTTTTACTTAAAATATTTTAAAATACTCTCCAAATATCTAACTTTGTTGCAAAATTGCGAAGTTAATCTTGTCAACAACTTCAAATACTTTACATATATTATGTATTTACATAAAAAGTTTCGTTTTATCATAAATTCTAGTTTAAACACTCACTTTGTAATGTACGTGCCAGACATAAAAAATTATGCTTCATTAAATAAATGAAATGGAAAATTTTAGTCTATTGTCTATCATTTTAACGCGGCGTAGTTTTTTTTAATAGTGTTTTATTAATATGGGAAATTTACCAATTAAAGTAGTTATCTCACTTTTTATAGAAAGATTGAAGCCATAAAAGTAAAGTGATGTAAGTTGACAAAAATATCTGTTTTGAAAAGTAATAGGAAATATTTCTTTTTGTGTAATAAACTTGTTTTAAATACCTTTTTGGATATATAATACAAATTGTAAACTAAATTTTTTAGTTCTTTCTATTTCTAAAGGCTCCCAAAAAGTTTTTGATATAATTAAACACGGCAAGCTAACGTTAATTCTAAAAACAACTAATATAGACGATAAGCACCTTAGAATCATAAAAAATCTCTGTTATAACCAAACAGCTAACATAAAGGCGGAAGATCAATTAGACCTGAATTCAGCCAGGTGTACGACAGGGATGTGGTGTATTACCTCTCCACTTCAATATCTAGTTATAGAAAATTATAATCATGGTATCCTTATAAAAGGACGATACAGTTGTATTCTCAAACAACTTGGAATATTGGCAATCACTGATAACTCACATATCAGAAGGGAATTTATTAGAATGAGAAACCAAACGATATGATAATTGCAAACACCTGGTATAAACTACCCAAGCGACGGCAATGCACTTGGAAAGCCCCATTTGATGATGGCAATAACCCTGAGTCTTCAAGAAATTAAATAGACTATATACTTATAAATGAGCGTTTCCGAAACGTCGTCAAAAAAGTCATTACATATCCTGGTACAGATGTTGGACCTGATCATCAACCACTTGTAGCAGATATTAAACTAAGCTTAAAACAAATTCAGCGACAAAAACCAAAAATCAATGAACCTAACTTTGACGATATAAACATAAAACATAAACATTAAAACAGATTTTAACGAAATAAGAAAATAATGGTAGCTGTATATATCAGAGTTGTTTGAAGATGACCGGAATAATATTGCCGAATTCTACCAAAACTGTACTGACGGCCCAGAAATTATGAAATGCGAGGTAGAACACGCTATAAATAACGCTAAAATTAGAAAAGCTTGTGGTCCAGACGATACACCAACTGAGTTGCTGAAACTAATAGAGAATGATAACATAAAAGTAGTATTAATTACTGTTAAACTGGGAATAAGCCACAATTAAAGATAAAAATACGTTTATTGACGTTTCAATTTCCACTTCGGAAATCGTTCTCAAAATACAAACAGTAAATTGTTTACAATGTGTGTTACAATTTACTGTTTGTATTTTGAGAACGATTTCCGAAGTGGAAATTGAAACGTCAATAAACGTATTTTTATCTTTAATTGTGGCTTATTCCCAGTTTAACAGTAATTAATTTACAATGCCACAAGAAAATAGCTTCAGAACAATATAAAAGTAGTAGTAAGACTTTTTAATTCAATATTATATTATAACACCGGAGTGATTCCCGCAGATTGGCTCAAATCCATCTTTGTCGCCATACTTAAAAAACACAATGCGAGAAAATGCTTAGAATATCGATTAATTAGCCTAATGAACCACACTCTTAAAATTTTCATCAGAATACTGCACAACAGAATTAGACGCAAATTCGAAGAATATCTTGAAGATACCCAATTTGGTTTTAGAAATGCTATGGGAACCAGGAAGGCACTTTTTTCGCTTAATATCCTATTATAACTTACCTTACTATGATCGAAAGAAGGCAAGAAAGGAAAAGGTCAATTTAAAGGCAAGAAGAATGGAACAATATGAAAGATGTGACAAAAAAGATAAAGATGCTGGTTTCGAATCTAAGAGATTGGGTGGACTGTGGTTATAGGCGACTAGACTATTTCAGGTGCTCACAGGACACGAGTGTTTTAGGGCATATTTCTCTAGTTTCGGAAAGGTTGGCACGGATGAATGCCTATACTGTGGACATCCTTAAACTGTGACAAATACGATGTTGGAGTACAACAAAAGGATAGAAGAGAAGAGCGGAATGCAAAGAGAGACCGGTATGAATTTTGTGATAGTGATTGAAAATAAAGCAACTTAGAGCAGTGTACACAACTACATCCGTACAGTGACCAATAAGAAAGAAGAGAAAGAAAGACAGCCGGATCAACAGTAAAGGTTAGAGGAGAAGATCTTGTAAGTTGAAGGTATAGGAAATACGTCTTGACAAGAGGCAAACAAACGAGAAGCGTATGAGTCAGACTGTGGGGAATGAGGAAACGCCCGGCTGGGAGTGATGACGTTCGAGAAACGATTATGGGTTACTCTCGAGCTATAAGAAAGCTCAATTTTTGAGACCAAAAAATGGGAAGAGTAAAAAAGAGACTGGAAACCTTTTTGATGGCAGGCTCTCGATAAGTGAAGGAAGTGTTTTGGAAGTGTTGCTCCGCTTTACAGTGGTCATTCTGCTTCTGAATCGCTAGATGACAGAGGAGGCTCTCTTTTAGCCGGTAGGTTTTTGGCATAGACTGGACAATAATAAGACGTTTTAAAGGAAATACAAAGTAAAAATATTGTACGGTCTGAAAAGACAGTTTAGTTTTTTAAAGAAGTATAGTTTACAGGTTTCTTGTTATCGCTAATATCAACAATGCTTGTGCAGCTGATCCATTTAGATATATTCAAAAGTAGATAGATTAAGCTATTGACTAGTATGATATATATATATATATATATATATATATATATATATATATATATATATATATTACCTGGTAAGAAAATATATATCTGAAACGTTAATAAGCATGAAAACTTGCTTACCTTCTTTTTAAGTCTCGTGGGGCTGGTGGGATCTTCATCACTGGAACTTGACGTTTCTTCGGTGGGTCTAATCACTAAGCAAGGCCTTTTTGGGTATGCAGGCATCTTTATAGGAACTTTTGGTAATGAGTTAAACGAATTTGAATGGTGAAGGGGTTTGCAAGTTGTGGTGGTATAAGCTGCTCGAGGAAAATCTGCACCTAACCTTAAAGCTGCGTAATCTGTGAGAAAACCCCCGGTTGGTGGACTGTGGCTAAAAACGGGCGGACTGTGAGACACCAACATTTCGTATTCCATAGAACACATTTGAATCTGCAACAAGGAAAAACTAGGTATTAGATTATATAAATTAAAGTAATATAATAAGTTTTAGGGATAAAATTTATTAGTAATAGTTTATCAAAACAGCATTATTTATATAAGTAATCCATTTTACTTAGGCTAAGTCAACAATATTTTAAATTTTACCAGGGGTTATCAAATTCTATATAACAAGATTGATATGAATAATGATCTTCATGAAAAAATTTACTGTTCACAAACGTGAACCCACTAGATTGGACTTTCGAGCATGTTTCCAGTAAGAAGTGTCGTTAAAGAAGGAAACTTTATATCTAAATCATTTTCAATAGCAAAGTGTCTCTATTATCTATGTTGTCTCTATCTCCGACCTTATTTTAAATATATATTCAATCATCGCTAGAGTATTGGAGGAAACAAGTATCCGGAATAAGTATTTTAAAATAGGAGATGATGAAGAAGATCCAGAGTTAGAAATTAGAAACAAAAACATGAAATGCGTATAAATATCTCGTATCTATAATATCTAAAGAAAGCACTACCAAAAGAGACATCGAAAACACAATGCAGCAGGGAAAAAAAGCGGTAAACATTCTAAAGTCTCTATTGTAGTCCAAAGATATTAGACAAGAAACGAAATTGACAATTTATCGAACCTTGGTAGAAAAAGATAGAAAAATAATAGAAGTGGTAAAAATGGATTTTCTAAGGAGAGCGTGTGGTGTATCTAAAAAAAAAGGTGGAAGGATAAAGTGGCAGCCGACTTACAAAATTCGCCAGACGTGAGAACCTGGAGACGATCGGAGCGGGACCGACAAGGTTGGAGGCATAGTATAAAGTTGGCCAAGGCTTGATTTGGGCTGTAGGAGAGAGAGAGAGAGAGAGAGAGAGAGAGAGAGAGAGAGAGAGAGAGAGAGAGAGAGAGAGAGAAAGGGAGCATCTGGTTTGAATCGATGTTGGCCCCTCTGTGAGATCTAACGTCATTTATCGATTGTTTGTGTGCCTTTTTGTTCAGTACATGGTCTATTTGATTTCCCTCCAGACTTCTTCGTCTCATACATGTTATTTTGTGTATTTATTTGTGTTTATATTTCGTGCTATTTATGTCCATGTTTAATGGCGCTGTTAAATAACATAGTCTTTCTACATTAGTGGATTGAGTTTGCACCTGCAACCACTCTAAAGCAATTTTCTTTGCCTATTTGGGCGTTGAAATCTCCTATAAGGATTAATATATCTTCTTCCGGGATGTTTTTGATGATCTTTGTTTAGGTAATTATAATACGTGCAACTTGTTCTTGTTCTTACAAGTGTACTTGTTTTTTCTTGTTCTTCTTCTCTGTGTACTTGTTCTTAGCAATTTATGCAATTTTTAATAATTTATTTTCCGTCTTAAATAATATATTTTCGATAATAATTTAAGATTGATCAATAAGTACTGCAAATAAAGCCTGTCGATTTGTTAATAAGAAATAGTCTTTTTACAAAACTATTCGAAGCTCTCAAAACAGAAGATCCCGTTAACTTTCTTGCAATTGACCATATACGAGGTTCTTGTTGGTCGTCTTCGAGGTAGTTCTATAAAAGGTAGATTAATGCACAGTCGAGAGGTTTTAAATTCTTTTTCTAATGGAACTCATAATTTATTAATAGAACACGTCGGATAAGAAGATTAACAGAATTCTTTAGCGGATTGGTGAGAAAAGCTGTTTATATTTGTAGTGTATAACAAATCGTGGATCGAGAACTGTGTGTAGACCAAACTTTCGGTGAATAAAATGATATATCACTAAATCAATTATAGTTTCCGTTGGTGCGATTCTAGTTGTTGCTTAAAAATAATAAGACTTGATAAACATTATATTTTTAGACCATTGATATATACCGTAGCAGTGACGGGTAAACTTTTTAACAACATAAAACCAGGATAAGAAAAAATAATTTTCGTATTATCTGGTACAGTTGTCAATCATTACAGCAATATAATTAACTTTTGACTAGTTTATAAAAATCAACTGATTTTGTCTTATTAAAATATTAAAAATGAACTATGAAATGAATGTGAAATGAATTAACTGAATTCAAAATTTGTCTGAAACCACTTTCTTGTGTTTTTTGTGTTCTCTTCTACTGTTTATTATCTCTCTATACGTCAAAATAAATGTATGTTTAACTAAAATTGTAATTCATTTTTATTAAAACTTAACTAAATAGTGCGTTGGTACTAAATAACCTAAAACAAAGGCAAAAAAATATGAAATGAGGCATTGAGTTAAAAAATAAGAAAATATAAAACAAAAAATATGAAAACCAAAAAAAAAGAATAGTAGGGTCAGATTTGCCACATTAAGAAAGTTTGACTCCATAAAATAATAAATATAATAAAAGTGTATTTGCAAAAAAAAGAAACTAAGAAAAACGTGCACTGATAAAATAAAACAAAATTGAGAATAAATAGAAATTATCATATAGAATCAGTTTTATCAAAGAAAATAAATATATGCAAATTTCTTTGATATGCCCAGCAGTGCATTGCGATTATAATTCATCATCACGTTTTTTACGTAGTCCATGTTGGGGTGAAAGGGCCCCTTCAAGCTAGGAAAAATGCCCTTACTCCCAGAATTACATTCTTTTTTTATTTTTTACTGGTGTAAAAAAATAAGTGCAATTTTATTTGGGTAAATCCAGTAACAACCCCCGAACAACCCTTCAAAACCTGTTTTTTCGCATAAACCATAGATTTATTCGCTTCTTTGAGGCCCGAGAACATTATTTTCGAATAAGAGCTTGATTTAGGTTGTACCGACCATAAAAGATATTATTACACTTGCAAAAACCATTAAAAACCTTGAACAAATATAGTTTTATAATTTTTGGGAGGTTTAAAGGATATTTACTCAATTTCTGCATGTCATAAATAATTCAGTTACTTTAAATTATATATATAACCTATACAAAACATTGATTTGATCAATTTTGAAGTCTATAAAATTGAGAAAATTCCGAAAACTTCTAAAAATCCAGTTTTTCGGGTTTTTGAAGGTGTCGCAATTTACGGAAAAATAAGAAATAATTTTTTGATAAAATACATACAATAAAAAAGACGTGTAGTCTGCGTTTTGAAAAAAATATACGCTTTTTTTGAAAAAAATAATGCATTTTTAGGTTTTGGACACTCAACCTACGGGTCTATAAAAAATAGATAAGTTTTGTAATAGCCTCAACTATGTATGTAAATTTTTTAAAAATTTTAAGTCAATTGCAACCAATAGAAAAAATATAATAAAACCGTAAAATAACGTTTTAGGGGACAGAGAGAGGGGAACAGTTTTTTTAGAGTATAAAGCTGTTTCGTCTAATTTTTGAATGATCTTATGGACTCAGTAACTTCAAATTAGATATTAACTATGAAAAAACTTTGATTTATTTTGTAGTCCATAAAATATGTGAAATTCCCAAAAGTACCCACATAATAGTTTTTATGATTCTAAAAGGTGGCACAACTTTTGACAGAATCTGGAAAAATTAGAAATATATTTTTTGGTTTTTCCGAAAAAAGTTATACGCTTTTTTTGAAAAAGAAAATGCCTTTTAGGTTATGTATGCAACCTATAGGACAATAAAAATAGATAAATTTTGTAAAAGCATCAACTACGCGTGTGAATTTTTTGAAAATTTTAAATTGATTATAACCCACCGAAAAAAAAAAAAAAATTAAAACGAAAAAATTTCGTTTCGTTTAAAAATTAAAACGAAAAAAAAAATAATTCTGGGAGTAGGGGAATTTTGCCTATCTTAATGGGAGTACCTATCCTTTTGGACATTTTTTTGGTTTTGCTAAAGTGGATATTTCTATTTTATCTGAGCTTGATTTTCAATTAAAATTTATACAAAAAACACAGAAAGCTTAGCTACATAGCCATTTGTGACCAGCAAAAGAGACCATGGAATAGCAAATCCAAAACCAAACACCACAACCTATATTTTAAAATTGTATAGGATGGAAAAGTATGGAAATAGAAGATTATCCGACTAAATAAGCACATAGATGGAACTTCTAGGGTTTGTTTGAGTTTTAAAAGGAAATCCAAGTTATAAGTTGATTTGTAGATATTTTACCAGCACATATAATTTTTTAACGTGGTTAAGTTCTTATTTTATGGATTTCACAAATTAAATATATTATTTTTTATTCTTGTATTAATATTTTTTCAAATAATTTTTCTTTTCCATAAATGTATTCATACTAGTTAGGAATCAATGGCAAATCTAGTGATTTGCCTTGTGGCAGGTATCTTCCAACTTGGGGGGACTTTTCAATAAAATACCAAACAAAAGACATAAACAGATAAAACGAACAACATAAAAGACATAAATAATAGATTTTCTTTAATTTTGGACCGTCATGGAAGAGGAAATTTCCCCATTTCCCTGTGTGTCTGCCAGTGTAAAGAATCAAATAATCGGATAGAGCGAATACACTACCTATTCATGTTCGAAACCCATTTGGAAAAACGTTTTCTTTAAAAGGTATCGGTATCAAAGAGAAATTGAAGCAAGAAGGTTAATATTAACAAGATTATTTGTTTTTCATGTAAGAATATGTTACGTTTCAAGAGTAGGGTCATCGTATGAACAAACTTAGCATGTTTATCTGCATGAAAAAACATAGACAGTACTACGAATCTAGACCAAAATTTCCGAATCCGAACGCTATGCTATAATGTATTACCAATATTATATGACTACGAGAGTTCTCTATCAACCTCTCACTAGAAGAACACATCGATTCTTTGGAAGTATACCTTTATAAAAGAATGATACTATCTATTTCCTAAGAACCTAACGAGAAACAAAAATCGAATATCTAAATATAATGCAGAAGATCAGAGAGCCGATGGTAACACTCAAAGAGCATAAGCTAATGTACTTGAGACACATAATGAGAGGCGTTACATCGTTGGATAATCGAATGAAAAATTTAAGGAAAAATGTCCATAAGGAAAAGTTAAATTCCTGGAACATGGATGTAACCAAGCAACGAAACATCATCCCAAGTTTTCAGGGTCGCTATTTCAGTATAACCATATCAAGGTAGATAGT